TATTATTATTATTATTATTATTATTATTATTATTATTATTATTATTATTATTATTATTATTATTATTATTATTATTATTATTATTATTATTATTATTATTATTATTATTATTATTATTATTGTCATCATCCTCAGTGTTGTTACCTGAGGAGCGCTTGGGCCTATATATCGATAAATGTCTGACACAGCGCATTGTTCTCAGTCGTTAGGGGAAGCAAAAACATTTCCTCTTGTTCCGTTTTGGTTTTCTTGGGCTGGTGTTTGGTGTGTTTTTGTTTTTGGTTTTTTTTTTAATTTTCATTTTGATTTTGATCATTATTAATTTTTATTTCAGAGTCATGCTCCACGGCACAAACTGTAAAAAATACATTTTAAAACATCAAAAAAAAAAAAACCAACCAAAAAAACAGACAGGTCGAGACCTTTCTGTTAACAATCCTCCACCCCATCCTTGAAATCTAAAGTAGTGAAGGATTTTGCAGAAAATAATGGATCATTTTCCCATTTACCCATGATTCAAGGATTAATAACTAATCCCATCAAAGGACATCTGCTTAGATTGTTCCTTGTCAGTGAAAGTAAATAGAGCCTTTTAGTCTTTAGACCTAAACTCCTCTGAGGTTATTATGCTGAGGGAACCTCCTACAAGCGGTTGCTTTCTCTTTCGCTCCTGCTGTGACTAACCCTGGAGGGAGAAAGCAAACTTTGCTAGTCCCTGGACATAAAGGTTATTTGCTAGAATGGAGGAGACTTTTATGAGAGGCCGGGTAAGCTGAGACCCTCACCCTCCCCTAAGGCTTGGCTCTAGCAGGGGGCTGCAGCCCGCCGAGCCCTTTGAGTTGCATTGTCCTGCCTCTATGGGAGATTTCCCCCTTTCAGGTCGGGGATGCCGTGTCTTTGCTCCCCCAAAAGCTTCCCCCCTATTTACGTGGTGCTGCGGAACAGCTCTTTTGGGGTTAAACGGGGAAAAGAGAAACGGTTTGGGTCTGGGGTCAAAATCTCCGCAACTGGCAAAAGTTTTTGGTGGGTGGTGGGTGCTGGGAGGGGTGGATGGGATCCATCGGGCACACGGGGGGGGTGCAGCACACCGCGGCGGCCCTGGGGGAAATGGGTAGGGGGATTGAGGGCAAAAAAAAAAAGGGAAATAATGAACTTCTGGGGCAATAATGGGCTGTCGTCGTGCGACTTGGGTTGTCATCAATAGGGCCGCCAAGGCTTCACACAAAGGGGGGACAGAGACTTTCTGGTCAGGAGAGGCTGAACCAAAATACGAGCAAATGGCCCCAAATGAAAGGAGCCCTGCCTCTTCTGCTGCCCAGGAGCTCCTCTCTGTAAATATTAACGGCCGGGCCTTCCCAGGGCAGAGAGAAACGTCCCGCGGGGTCACCCGGGGAGAGCCTGGCGAAGGTCGCAGCGGAGCTGAGCTCTCCTTCTCTCTCCTTGTGCTGGGGTGGAAATAACCACCGGGCGCCCGTGCCAGGCAGTTGGAGGGATGCATGTTGTAAGCATTTCAGAACATCTAAAATTAGACCCTTTTTTTTTTTTTCTTTCTTTTTCCCCCTACCAGAACAGGGCTGAGTGTCTCATCCACGAACACCAGCTGTGGATTTTTTTGCTCTCGCTTTGGAAAAAGCTTCCTCGGAGATACAGACAAAAAAGAAACGCTGCTCCACCCTCTCCCTGGCACACACAAAATACAAGAGTAATTACAAACCGGGGCCGTGGGCCCCAAACCCAGACCCTGCTCTGGGCTATTGAGGGAAATCTTTCAAAATCCGAATGGAAACCAGCCCCGTCGGCCTTTTGCCGTGCGGGGAAGCCGGTCCTGCTGTGCTCACCCTCCCAGCCCTCCGGACCCGCAGACCCGACGCCTCTGTCATCTCGACTCGGCTTCAAGCTCCGGCTAAGGGAACAATTGCAGGCAAAGCCAGTGGGAGTTCAAAAGGAGCAATACTGAATTAAACGATAGCAATTTCCCTTATTTTCTGCCGCTTAAAGGTGCACGCTGGGAATGTTTAAATATCCTTGTTATCCCCTTCAATACCTAGAGAACATTTTTTTAACGAGCAGGGCTGTAATCAGGCCGCGTTCGTGCCAGGCATCTCTTACTAACAAACGCCATTCTCCAAAAGAGCTGTCCAGATCAAAGCCCTTTGAAGCAGAAGAAAAGGCACCTGCTGGACTGAGTGCTTCGGGCAGCTGGGCGAGCCGGGGTAGGTGCCGGGGGGACACTTTACCCAATTTTACTGAGACAAAACAGAGCTCCCCTCCACTCTGGGAAGAGAGAATTTGAGTGTTTGCTTTAGGTTTTGGCTTGTGGGGTTTTTTTTCGGTTTTCTTCTTTTTTTTTTTTTTTTTTTTTTTTTTTTTTTTTTTTTTTTTTTTTTTTTTTTTTGCTACCGGTTTGGGGACAAGCTGAGGATAGCGTCACATCTCAGGCCAAGATGATCTGATCTAAATGAATTTGCTTGTTTTCAGGCTTCAGCACCCATCCCCTCCAAAGCTCCCAGGTTCTGCGGGTGCCTTTGAAGGCATCTACCTGTGGTTTGACCTTTTGGGTGAACTATTAAAGTCTCCACCTTATAGGAAAGACTCGCTGAGGAGAGGCAGGAGGAAGGCACGAGGCTATCCAGCCCGGAGCTGGCTCGGGGGCGAAGGGTTTGGCTCCCCAGGGCTGCAGGTGGCTGGGTTGAGGATGGAGCAAAGGCTGTGGATGCCCAGGACAGAGGCTGTGGGAAGGCAGCGGCTGCCTGTCCAGGGCTGGCACAACCCCACAGGCCTGGGGACGGCACTGGAGCGTCTCCGCTACTGTCCTTCAGCGCCCAACCGCTTGCTTCAGAACGCAGCTTTTGTTGCAATTTTCTTTGTCTGGGGGGATGCCGAAGCGGTGGCACTGCGCGGCCCAGGCGGCAGCAAAAATGCCCAGAAAAGTGCAGGACACGGGGATGGTGCTTTTTAAACACTGAGACAAAGACGTTTCTTTCGAAATCACCCAGCTCCAGACCTCTCTCCCTCCCCCAAACCCTCGAGCCGCTAACCTCCTCAGACGCCCGTACCCCAAATTTTGATGTGACCGGGGCCGCCAGGAGAATTTCAACCAAAATCCTGGATCTGGACGTCACCCAGCAGCAGCAATCCACACTTTTAGAGGCAACGGTGGTTGCATGGCCACGGTTTATAGAAAATAAGCACATGCGGTTTGTCTACAGTCACACGTGTTTGTGCACATCTCAGTGCAAATACTTAAAAAGCCAAAAATCTTCTTTGAACCATATGTGGCATTTCTTACAGAGCTCAAACATCTCCCGAGCGGAGCCTCGCTGAGCTGGCAGACAAAAAAATGAGGGAATTTCCCTTAAAAATCCAACTGGGGAAGATACGGGCTGGTCCACGCCGGGGCCTGGCGAAGCCGTTGCGGCCTCAGAGGTGCTCGGTGGTGTCCAGCACCCATGGGTGCACCCTTTTCTCTCCCCCAAGGCTGCGAGCAGAGCGTTTTGGGGTGGGTATTCCACCCCTACACCTCGGGGAGGGGGGGCACGGAGAGCATCTCCCTACCGGTGTCCTGCGTGGGGGGGGAGCCTGGAGCTCCTTGGGTGGGTCCATCCACCCGTCCTCGCACCTCGCACCCACACACGTGGTCCCTGCACCCTGGCGTGAGGACGCGGAGGGGGGGACAGGGCACCCATGGGTGGGGTATAGACACACCCCAAGGGGCTCTGAGCAGTTCTGGGGGTGCTGCTAGTGAATTAGCCCCCCGCCCCCCTCCCTCTTTTGCAGCGGGCACCCCCTTCTTCGCAGCTCCCCGCTGCTGCGTGACCTCTCCCCCCTCTGACCTGGTGGGGAAGGGGCTGGGGC